CATCTGTGAGTCAAATCCCAGTCACTCACTGGGTTAAAATCAAGAAAAATCCTACTTTACATTTACAGTTATTAGAGCTACACTGCAAACACAGCATCTGAAATGAGATTAACATTCCAGTGCTAGATCAACACTGCCACCACCACTGTAAAATCAAATCTCATGATATAGTATAAAAGTAATGCTAGGCCTAAAATTCCATAACAAAAAATATCCCAAAGTTTCAGAACTATAAAATGTCATTAAATATGTCTAATATTGCTATGTCTCAAAGAATACAATCAATAATTTATAGTGAAAGTTGTCAAATGCACCAGAAATACTTTTCCCCACAGTGCCAAGAGAAAATGGTTAATATATAAGATGAATATATGAAATTTAAAATGTATTAATTGCAACCAAAAATGAATTTAGAAAACACAGAGCTACGGCTACATACCTTTACACAAATTTATAAAGCTATTTGACTTCTGATTTTATTCTACTCTGAAAACTGGTCAAGTGTGGCAGTTACATAATTCTATCTAAACTATCAGGGTCCAGCTGACTCTAATAATTAGTCAGTGAAGTAATTCAGTTTTTTAAATGTCACACAGATATTTTGTTTATTATCAATAGAGTAGAAAATTAATCTTGTACAGATGTTAAAAATACATGGCCATGTTCAAATGAAGACATTCCTTTTTTTGTTATTTTTTTTTGATACAGAATCTCACTCTGTCACCCAGGCTAGACTGCAGTGGCGTCATCATAGCTCACTGCAACCTCAAACTCCTTGGCTCAAGCGATCCTCCTGCCTTAGCCTCCCAAGTAGCTGGGACTACAGGCACATACCACCATGCCCAGCTTATTTTTTCTATTTTTAGTAGAGACGGGGTCTCACTCTTGCCCAGGCTGGTCTCAAACTCCTGAGCTCAAGCGATCCTCCCACCTCGGCCTCCCAGAGTGCTGGGATTACAGGCGTGAGCCACCCCGCCCAGCTGACACAGACTCGTATTTACTTCTCAAGTTTTAGGTTTTTTTTCAGCTTCAGTTTGACCACTTGTAAAATGGGGATAAAATGACAGTCTACAAGGTTGCTGTTATGCTTAAATGAGAATTTGCCTAGCAAAGAAGCAGTTCCTCCAAAATGGTAACTTAACAGGGTAGTGGAGGAGAGGAAAGGAAACTTAAAGATAAGTTTTACTTCTCCTTTAGCAAACTCAGAATGAAACAATGTTCCAGGGTTCCCATAATTAAAAGTAGTGATACAATTTAACAATACATTCTCTTTCTACTTTCTCTAACATTAAAGTCTGTAAACTACTTGTCAGAGAAAAACCTCAGATATTACAGCCTTTTAGCTAGTATCATAATATTATAAGCATGTAAGGAAGTTGTATTTCCAATGTTGGCCTGAGGTCTCTTCAAGCAGAAAACTAAAAAATAGAGATTTGATCTAAAATAGAGTGACTGAACTAAAGCCCCTAAACTAAATCTCTTTCAGAAGGACTAGTCAGCTAAGGAATGAAGTGTGGAAAAATTAGTACTTGATTTCAGAAGCTATGAAATCTGTATAATTAAAGCAGGGAATTCTGAATCAATTGCTGAGTTCCCCAGAAAGACGCTGTGAAAATGTCGTTGGCAAAGTATCAAAGTATAACATATTTGAACCATCAATGGTTTCAAGAACCCACTCCAAAAAAAAGTCTTTAAATCACTACATTCTGGGCAAAACTGAACATAGCTGTTGCTCTTCATATAAACTCTGTGTACCTGCCTCATGAGTGAAAAACAAATATAAATACCTCTATTAACAATACTACACTATAGTGACACACCATCAAAATCTCCTAACAAAAAGTAGAAATAACTTGGAAGGTATGGGTAATATGAATTAAAGACCACTAAATATTGTTTCAGTCAGTACAAAATGCCTATGTGAGAATTTTCTTTAGGGAGATAGGAGTGTGGGAAAGTGGACAGAGGAAAGGCAAGATTAAATGTAAGGTAGGAACAGCAACAACAGGTAACTTTTGCTCCAAAAACAGCATGAGGAAAAACCTTCAGATACAGTAAAACCCAGAAATGAAGAAGCTTGGGCTTTTCCTGGATGTGAATCAAGCATGTTCTTCCAAGAGGGAAGGGAAGCCAGCTGCTTACCTTCTAGTACCCCCTGCACAAAGACAGATCAGGGTGGGATAGGGAATACTAAATTAGATTTTCTTCACACTAGGCTTTACCAAAGAAGGCATAAGATATAGATAGATAAATTGATTGATTTTTTTTTTTTTTTGAGACAGGGTCATGCTCTGTCCCCTGGGGCAAGAGTGTGTACAGTGGCATCATCATAGCTCACTGCAAGCTCAAACTGCTAGGCTCAAGCAATCCTCCTGCCTCAGCCTCCTATGTAGCTGGGAGTACAGGTGTGTGCCACCACACCCAGCCAAGAAGGCATGATTAAAGAATACTGACACTGTAAGAAAAATCTCTCCTCACCTGCTTGCTGAAGCTTAAAATCATGCAGTAGCTGAAAAAGTTATTTATTCTATAATTATGGACAATAAAAGGCTTAAAATCAAAAGCCTGGTTGTAATCACACAAATATTTTAAGTTAGAAGTAAAATAAAATTAATCAGTGAATGGTGAAATACTAATTTTTACCTAGCCTGCCCTTTTGCGAGAGGGGTGACAGACAGGTGAGAGCAGATACCTACTCAGTCTCTGAAATGGGAAGAAGGTTAATCTACCCTGAGAGAAATAGCACACGGGAAAAGGAGGCCTGAAAGGCAGAAGATAAACTTTGAAAATGTCACATTTTTTGCCCAGAGTAGATCTAAAGTAAATAAACTACATCACACTAAGGTGTTTTGGTCAGATAGCTATCAATGAGCACAGTGCTGCTTCACATGTCTATGAAAATGTACTTTTTAAACAAGGCTGACTCAATTTATTAGGGATTCTTAACCAACAAATCACTATTGTCACAATAAAAAAAAATTTTTCTATTTATTGTCTTTCATCTATACTTTTTATTGATTCGAAATACTTCAGATATTTTCACCTTTAATAAAAGGTATTTACACATTGATTATTTTACTAGATGCTAAATTGCCTTTTATATCTAGTGCATTTGAAAAGTTGAATCTGAGCCCTGATGTTTTTACTAAAATGATATAAAATGTGTACATTCCTTAATATAAAGGTATAAAACTGATTTTAGGGAACGACCTCTTGGCAATAAAAATTGCTTTTCCCCTGCCTTCCCTGTTATACCTAGTATAACAGTATTGATACTGCCATCATGTAACTTCCTATGCTGAAAAAGTTTTCATTGACTCACACTCAATTACAATTCCAGAAAAAAGTTCCAAGGAGACATTATTAAATTCTTCAGTCAGTTTCTTCAGTAGGCCATGGCATTATGTTATTCATGTGCTTTTCCACAGGTTCTGAATCACACATCATGAATTAAAGAAATGAGGCAGGGGGCGAATAAGTAAAATACTTATAACTCACTAATTATTAGTTCTTGTCTTAGAACCTACCTAAGCTAATGATTATGTGTATGCAATTCTAAATGCTTACATTTCTTTTATTAAACAAAGCACCCCGGAGATAGGTAATGTGCCACAGTTCTCATTATTTTCTTTAAAATACATCTATTTCATTTATTCCAACTATAGCTTCTCAGGTATGTTAGGTTTAACAGAAATCTCAAAACCTAATATAATTCCATTGTTTTATGCCCAAAATAATGAATTCTAGAATAGTACTACCCCAAAACAGTTATATAATTACACAATTTTTACTTATATTTTGATATAATTTTACTAATACTTTATGACATAAATGTTCTAAATGTATATATTAAGGGGTCTTAAATTATTTACAAACATAGCATTTGCCAAGTAAGTATGGAAAAGCTAAAATACACTTTAAAGAATTTAGGCTGACTCTATGGTTGTATAGATGACAAAACAACATGGGCCACTGATCTACCTAAGGCCCTATTGCTGAATAGTGACACAAATGGAACTAGAATCTAGTTTTTCTTTCCACGACACCAAATCTCATTTGGTTCCTTCTTTCCAACTGATTTCTCACCCCAACTCTTCTTGAAAAACTTTTCACTTTTAAGCATACAACTAAGGCAAAATAGAATATCTCTCTAAATTTTATCTTTAAAAATAAGTAAAATTTAAAGAGTCGGAAGAATTTAATGAGATATTACACCAAAAGCCTTTCAATCCAGGAATGGCACATACTAGGCAGTAACCAAACGGTAACTATTATTATTAGTCTTATTTTTACCACAAGAAAGGCAGTGAATATTTTAAAGTGCACATACTAGCACAGCAGGCCAAAGACCCATTTGACACATCTTTTTAACTTGCACTTAATTATCCTTAGTCGACTTCATTTTAGACTGTAACTTTACACTATAATTTATGACCCACCCACAATGACCTTGATCTTTTTTTTTTCCTCGTGTACTGCTATGGACTGCTGTACTGAAATATTTTCAAGTAATAATTGGTCAGGTCCTCTTAGCCCTGGAGATACAAGCATCCTCTACTGACTCACAAAGGATTTTAAAATGTGACCCAAATATGGCTTGAGAAAGACCGTAACTCAAAAGGTCGCTACAGTTAAAATCCCACGACCTATTATAGTGAATGGTAACAAGTGCGAACTGCTGCCATCCACAAGCCATTTTCTCAAACCACCCTTGGATCTGGGGGAGGGGAGTGAGAAGGTCAATAAAGGAGCAAACTATTTCTCCTCCTGCTAGTCCCCTGCCGCCTCACACCAGAGGTCTGGAAATGAATGAAAGGCTCTGTAATAGCGTAGAGAAACATGGTATCCCGGCGCAGGTCTCCGGGCAGGGGTGCAGAGAGGGAAACTGTGGTATACATGCGAGAAACTCAAGGCACATATATATATATATATATATATATATATATATATATATATATATTTTACTACCCCAAATCATCTCGACTACAGCAGGAACCCACCCACCACCACTTATGGGAGGGGCACGTGGCAGGCGGCTGCCGCTCTGGCAGAAGATGCTCTGAGCAAGGCCAGGCCTGGGGCGAGGGGGGCACCGAGCAGCCCCGGGGATCCGAACTGAGGCAGGGGCAGGTGCGGGGAGGAGGAAGGGAGGCCCGGGAGGGCGCTGGGACAGGTGAGAGCCGCCCGGCCGGAGGAGCAGCGGGTGGAGCCGGGCGAGGCGGGGCCGAGGGGGCCTGCGGGGGCCGAGGGGGCCGGGCCGTCCGAGCCCGCGCCCGCACACACTCACCGTCGCCGGCTGGCTCGCCGCTCGCCGTGGCTGCTCTCGCGACCGCCAGCGGCTCTTCCCCTCCTCCTCCTCCTTCGGCGCTGGCGCCGCCGCCGCCGCCGCCCAGGCCCGGCCGCGCTCCCTTTCCGCTTCCGGGAGCCTGAGCGCCTGGACCGGCCGAGTGGGTGTCCGCAAGCCCGCGTGCCCGCGCGGGGAGGGATCGGCAGCCGCCGTCGCCGTCTCTGCTTCGCGCCCAGAAGCCGCGATGGGAGCCGCCTAGGGCCGAAAGACCAGAAATCGCGCCGTGGCCCCAAGCCGCGAGCCCAGTGGGACGGCGGTCGCCAGAACACACGTACCTGGCGCACCTCGGCGCCTCCGCCCTCCCCTGCTACCCGCTTCCCAGCCCTGCCCCAGCAGTCCTTCTCCTTGTCCCTCCGCCCTCTGCATGCCCCCCTCCGGAGAGGCAGGAGAAGGGCCTTATCCCAAGGATTGCATGCATCCTCCTTCCTTCTAGGTGTGTCGCCAGCAGGCCTCTCTCCCCACTAAGGCGGTGTGGATGTCCCATGGTACCTTGCTTCAAAGTGCGGTCTGCGGCGACAGCATCCTCTGGGAACTTGTTAGAAATGCACACTCTCAGGCCTGTTGAATCAGTTTCTGCGCTTTAACAAGATCACCAGGTGATTCCTGCGGGTGCACCTTAAAAATTGAAACACTGCATTCTAGTGCATGATCTCATCCACTTCAGACCCTCTACTGGATACCCTAGTCCTCCAAGATTTTTCCTATTCCTGCTGGCACCCTAAATCCATACCCAAACAAACTTTACTTATATTTCAGGAGACCTCCAAAAGTTGCCGGCTTTCCCAGGCCTGCAACGTGGGAAAAATAGACACAACCTTGCACGTAATCCGCCTCCCAATCTAATCTGGTATCTTTATCATACACCAGAGATACACTGAAACCTTTTCCACCTCACTCCAGCTGACCAGTAATACTTTGAGACGTTAAACTGTTTGCAGTAGTGCGGAGCTGGATCTTTGTACCCACATGCCACAGAAGGAAATAGTGCGGATGGAAAAAATATTACTTGTGGTATAAAATCTGTACTCCTTATAAAGTGGAATAGAAAGCCCTCCACAAACAGGTCCCTCCCCACCTCTCCAGTCTTAGCTCCAATTAACTTGGCTTCCTTCCCCATTCTAGATTGCCCTGCTCTCTGATGATCTTAATCCTATCTGAATTTGAGAGTCAGCTGAAATCCTACCAGCCCAGGATTCTCTCTCACCACTGCACTTATGTAGCACATATTGTATTAATAGCTTGTTGTACGCCCTTATGTTACCATGTATTGCTAGGGATTTTAAAATGTGTTATGTCCTGGTTTCTGAACTAATTACAAACACCTCACAACCTTAAAGACTTCTTTTGATTAGTAGATATCAAAGTGGGGTTCCCAGGCTAGCAGCATCAGCATCACTGGGAACTTATGAGAAATCCATATTCTCTAGCCCCACTGCAGATTTACTACTATATTAGAAACATTGGAGATGGAGCCCAGAAATCTGTGTTCTAACAAGCCTTCCAGGTAATTCTAATGCACACTCAAGTTTTGGAATTACTGACCTAGATTATTGTCTCACACCCCAAAGGAACCTAATCGTAGGGATTGATTTGACTATATGCAGGTTTTATTGCCTTTTTTGTTAACAAATAAGTTCCCCCATTCATGCATAGCTAGGTTGGAATGATGGTCACAATAGCTTTTGGAAGAATTATCTTTAATTCTCATGATACATTTGATGTACTAGGATTTTTATAACTTGGTTTGTTTGAAAAGGAGAAAATAATGAGTCACTTTGAAGGAAGAAGAAACACGTGGATTCTCCCCACTCAGCTACCTGAATTGCATATTATTTTGCTCTCTCTTCAAATACCCGTGTGAGAGGGAACAATTTGTGTCAAATGATCTCAAGAATGCCAAAATGAGAATTGGTTGACAGGCCCATGAATGCACATGACAATTGAAGTGTGCAGATTTTTCAGTCACTTTTTTGAATGAGTTAACCTGTCCTATATCAGCCAAATCAATTCCACAAAGAATTTTCTAGGAAAGAAATGGAAAGAAATAAGTGGCAAGAAAAACAGTCTCAAAATTATGACCCTTTTTAGCATGGGCAGTTAAGAAATATAATCAAAGGCCTGCCTATCCCTACTTTGAAGGTCAAATTATCTCATACTATCATCCATGCTAAGCATTGATTGCATTGTATTGCAACCCATATATTCAGACACCTGTGTCACAATGAGGGAGTGGAGGAGATATGGCATCAGGTAATCTTTTTGAAGAGCTTTTCTATTTACCACAAGCATGGAAATAAGATATATGTCACACACTATTTATTCCCACCAGAATTCTAGTCTACTTCCTGGGGCCTGTGATGAACTGAAACATGATTAATAATCAAACTAATATTTATCTGGGAATAGAAAAAGTAGACAAGGACAAAGTAGCATGCTTCCATTGCCAACTTAGCTTCCAGCAAAGGCACAGTCAGGGAATTTATGTGGATAAACTCAGCCAACTACTGTGCTTCTCTGCCGTGACTAGAGAGGACTGGATTTTACTGCAATTTCCAAAAGTCAGTGCAGTCCAGAGTTTAATCAGTACTGCCTAATAGCCCTTGGCAGCTTTGGGTGGATGGCGTTCTCCACCTGCCCAGCTGGGTACCATGCCCTAAGCACCCACATTTGATGCACATTCATGATTTCTTGGTTGCTTATAGTCATCTCCCACATCTGTTTGAATGGCAGAGTGCCCATTTCACAACAGCCTAATATTTGAAAAGTTATTCTTAACCTCTTTTGGGTTACACATCTCTTTGAACATCTGATGAAAGTTGTGGACCCTCTCCCCAGCAAAGTGTGTGCACAAACACAAATATATATAAACATGTACATATATATTTGTATATAAAGTTTCACAGGCTGCCCCACGTTGCCACACCTCCAGAGTATCACAACAAAGCCATGACATTCAGGCTAAGAACTTTCCCTATGATGTAAAGAGTAAGTCAAAGAAAATTTTTTCCCCAAATATCAAGGAAAACTCTAAAAGAACCGCTGCATGCTTAGGAAACAAAAAGAAAAAGCAACACTAAATAGAGTTACAAGCAAAGTGCTATGGGAGTGCTAAAGAAGAAACCAGTAGTTTCAACAGGGTGGTTCAGAGACGGCTTCATGGAGAAAGGCTCTTGCATTAGGTAAAAGAGAATAGGATTTTGATTGGGACAAAAGAGGGAAAGAAATTTCAGGAGAGGGGAAAGTATGAGCAGAGACATGGAGACATAAAAGTGCAAGGGTCTATCTGGTGTGGCTTAAATGTAGAGTACATGGAAAGACAGAGAGGGAGATGGAGAGGTAGAACAGATTCAAACCATGCGGAGCCTCAGAAACAATGCTATTTCCAATGCAGAGCTGTTAGAGAAGGCTATTAATGACTTACTCTTAGCTGGAGAAGACTCTGTTAGTGAAGCCTGTGGCATTATCAAAAGACAAAATAGTGGGGCATCTGGAGAGGTTCTAAATATTCTAAATTTGAGCCTGTTAAGTGAAGCCACATGGCTTTGCCTCAGCTTTTTAGGGTTGCTTGCTATTTGCTCTAGAAGTTTCTATCAAAGTAAATCAAGACGAACCTGAGATTCTTACACTTGGATAAGTACCAGTGAGGAAATATATCCTGGTGAATGTTCAGGTGAGTTTAGAGTCCGGGATGCAGAACAAGCTAAAATTGGTTCAGGATTGAAAGAGTGAAAATCAATTTGGACAGAAAACAGAAAAGAAGTCCTGCCTCTAATCAGGCTGGGAGGACAGACACAAATAAAGCCAGCTGCAAAATTAACAGGAAACAATATTTCTGCCAAAGTCATGCAGCAGTTATAAAGTGCCATAATGACCTTTTCTTTGGGTGATTACTGACTTCTCACCAATGACACCCCAGACCACTTGCTAATTTAACTTATTACTAGAGACACCCAATTGTTCAACCATCATCACTTCATGACAGCATCCAGTTCCTAGTTAATTCCCCTCTTTTTTTAATCCCATCTTAAAATATCCAATCCAGAACAGATCTCTGCTTCCCTTAGAACACAGATGGGGAAGCTTTTCATATTGGAAGGCCACATTAATTTGGCTGTAATCAAATAAGGCCACATTCAAGAAACCTCAATTAAATATATTTAAAAATGTACATTATTTTGTAAAAATC